CAAGTACATGTATTTTTAGCTCATATTAAGAGGTGTTTACCTTGTGGACATGCCTGACATGACAGTGGTGTAGTACCTGGTGTGTTGTTTGGATGTACATAAGTACCTATGTTGCATTCTTTGCATTTGGTTTGTGCCATCTCGTCCTGGTAGAATCCTCCTGAAGAAGATACGCCCAACCCAAATTATAATAGATACAGTAATGGTAATTGAACTGAGAAGAAATAGCACGATTTTAAGTACAAATCGGAATATATAAGTACGAGTGATGTTTTGAAAGTTTTCGAAATCGGACGAGCCTTTAGACTAGGTGAGTTTGATTTGAGAACTTTCAAAACATMAGGAGTATCTATAAATTCAGAATTGCATGAGAAGATTGTTTTTTGTCTTTTTGAATTCTTTGTTTATAATACACTCAAAAAAAATTGAGCAACTTAATTGGGACTCTAAAGAGTACAATTTGGGATGTAATTGTACTTCTCTTGTCCAATCAGAATTGAGCAATTTTGTTGAATGTATTATAAGTATATGTAATAGGACTCCATGCTGTCCAATTAAGAAAGAATTGGACWAGGAAAATTCCGAGGACTGACAAAATKGGATGAGGCCGTAGGCCGAGCCCAATTTGGCAGTGAGAGGAATTTTTTGAGTCTAATTATTTCTTGATTGGGGAGCATGAAATCCCGTTGCCTATCAATTATATAGCTGCCTAATTAATCCCATATCAACATGACCTGTCCAAWTAAGAAAATGATTGGACAGTTACCTATATGGGATTAATGAGAAGCTGTATAATTAGGTCTGTAATCAAACRAGTGATAAAAAATTGCTCGACCAAGTAGCAGAAATACCACTTAATTATACCTATTTTGAAATCTCCTGAAATAATAGTAAATTTAACATTTAGTTTTAATATAAAATTTATCCCCTTCAATTTTTTTTCTCATGCTTTTTTGGGGTTTTTTTTTCTTCTCTGATGTTATCGGTTGAATGACATGCTTTCTGCAATATAATTGGCTCTTTAAAACAGTGCTGTTTAAAACCAAGAGCCAAAAAAAAGAGCCAATCAGATTAGAGCCAATCAGATTGCAGGAATCAACAGTGATCATAATAATCGTAACCAGTGGCATAATTCAGCTTTTAAGAACTGCTATTGAAAGTCATCTGATATGTTTTGGATGCTATAAAATATAACACTAGTTTGTGTTTACAAACATTAGCATTGTGATGTTAATTTGATGACCATTATCTTAATATTTGTTGCTGAGTTGCTTTGCTTCATCACTGAGCGAATCTAGCCTCCTCTGCAGGCTACTCTTGGGTTTTTGTGACGATTCGACAGCCCATAATCATAGGAAAAGAGCAAAGATAATTCTGCGGAGGAAGCTAGAGGGAATCAATCTCTGGTTAGCACAATAATGACAACAGCTCACGTCACAGCATATAGCGCTTTTAACTAGTAACATATTTCAGTCTTATAGATTTTTTTTACCTGCGGAGCACTCCCTACATGGTTCGTTTTCCATTATTGCTTGAAATGATCCAACATTACAGGGAATGCAATTCCAGTTATTGCCATGTGTCATATTGCAAAAAAATCCCGATGTAACAAGTGAGTATGCCGCTTGAGTGTTCAACTCTCTGATCCAACCCAATTGATTTGGAGCACAGGTGCTGTTAAGAAAGATGGGAAATGATTACATTCAATGCATGCTTTCTCTCTGTGTCCTCCTTCGAAAGCTCCAGGCCTCGTTGTTGAACGCTCATGACGAGCAGTTTCACTTCAAACTGTCTCCGACTCCGATTCTGCGCAAATGGAAACCATTCTAAATGAAAATATTTTTTGTGCACTGCACATGCTCAAACCGTTACTTGTACGGCGTTTCATGCAATTCGGTTAACCAATAA